CTGTTTCTGATGTGATTATATAAAAAACAGAGCATTTGTCTAACATACTATCTGCCAAGGGCTCTTGAATGCTATTTTGCTCTGTTTCAGCATACCTCTTGATTCCCGGGAGAGTTTCTCTCCACCAGACTCCATTCTAGAGGCTGGGAAGCATTCTTGATCCTTCCCAGGGAAATCTTTATATTTTTTTCTGGAATGATTTCTCAGGAGAAAGGAAATTAAGAGAAGGATGCCTGTGCACCTCTGCATTACGGTGTGCAGCTCAGAGATGTCTAGATTCCCATCTCCTCTTCCAGGGCTGCTTCTGTCTTCTGATGCAAGTATGTACATGGTCCTTTAAATGGTTAAAATACAGAGGCAGCTCTGGAAGCTGAGACCAGACCTTAGAACGTCCTTTCCCAAGGGACAGGTGTAGAAAGTTATTAGATAAGAGGTGGGCCATTGTATCCCTGCCTCCCCAACTGTCTCCTGAACTGCCTGTGGAGTTGTCCTTGCAGGATTAGGCAAAAGCTGATTGAGCCTTTTTCAGCACTTTGGATTCAGGTGCATCATTTCCATCAAAGTTGCTTTTATACATCAAAGAGCAAAAGCCAAAAATTTGCGTAATGTAAAAATGTATTGACTGCATAAGGGAGAAGAGTCCCTGAAATTCCAATGGATGTTTTTGGTCATGCACAGGGAACTACATGCTTACACAGAGAAGGGCCCTTTAGGCAAAACTGCAAGACACTTTGGGCTGCCAGCAGTTCTAAGGATTCAGTTGAGTACTTTGCAGATCACCCAAAAATGCCTCAGCACTTTTTGCTGCTGTGTCCTGTGTTGGACAGGCTCACTTGCTCCCCACTGCATTCCAGAAGCATAAAGAGTGGGAGGTCAGTTCCTTCATGCTGGTATAGATTTTTCCCATGGCACAAGGCAGCCTGAGAGATGATCTCAGTATTTGTCATCATCTAGAGATGGTGATGAGAAAGCAAAAGGAAAAATAAGTCTTTAAGTGATTTGAAGTCCATTTTCACTGGACTTTATCTTCCATCTTCCCACTTGTGCCAAGTGGGACAGAGCTGGAGTCAGTTTATTTTCTGAGTCCCTGGTTGTTGCAATATCTTCTTGGAGTCTCCTACTTAAAGCTGGAGAGGTCCTGTAGAAAAAGAAATGCACAAGTGGCGACCGGCTGCCTTTGCCCCACATTTAGCTTTGGTGTCTGGGTTACTCTGTTTTGTCTGGTACATATCTGTGATACTGTCTATTTATATCCAGTTCTGTTTCCTGTCCACCCTCACCAGTACTGTGGTATCTCCCAGTCTGTGCAGTGGTCTGGAAGCACACATGTATACACAGCCCAGAAGCTGTCAGCATTGCCTGTTTTTTTTAACTAAGACAGCTCAATAAAGGCTTAGGATGGATGATCTGCCATGACCAGTGGGAGCTGGAAATGGGGAGAAGCATGTTCCCTCATACTGCAACTTCAAATAGAAGGGTCTTTCTCTGGGTTGCTTTCAGCTCCAAAAGCAGGGTGGAGTGTGTCTTCCCCACCTCCAGCCCAGAGAAACGGGATTTGCATGGTCCCAGGAGAGCAGTGCTGGACCAGTCTGCTTCGCTATCCAGGACAAAGCCATCACTCTCCATTCCTCAGGGATGTCGTGGCTACAACATGAGCAGTGAGACTTCAGCCCTCTAAATCTCTGCAGTGCGTGGCCCTTGGCACTTCAGCTGGACATGGTGTTTCACTTGGTGTGCTCACTGGAGGTGACAGCATCGTGAGTGGCCTTCTCCACAGAAACCCTCTACACCCTCTGCTGGTGCCCCAAGCCCCACTGCTTCCTCTTTGTGGCAGTGCAGTCCTAATTTTGGTAAGCTGAAGCATATATCTAACATAAGCACATACACCTCCACGTCAGATCCACCTAAAGCAAGAATAGCTTCACATTTTTTTTCAAAATTGAGGTCTTAGCATCCTAAATGTACCTTTCAAATGCAACTGCAAGATCTGTGTAATTGAAACTTTTGCTCTAATCTTGTTACCTCCCTCAGGCAGTTCCTGACAAATGGAGATTATAAGTGAGGATCTGTAGCAAACATAACTGAAAAAAGGCATCTTTAATGTTTTTGAAATGTGTTCAAAGCAGCTTGGTTGCTGAGCACAGAAAAATAATTTCCCTTTTACCTGAAATGCTGTTATGTTTATTAAATTAAGAGTGGCATTAACCTTATAACATATCCAGATCTTTTTATGATTTTGCATTTTTTATAACTAAAAGATCTCACTAAATATTTCTTCACGCCTCTAAATAATATTGCCCGTCATGTAATACTCGTCTCAGATTCTCCTCTGTAGCTTTGTATCAGAGCTGAAAAAGAGCTATCACAGAAAATAAAATGGGACTAAAGTAACAGTCCTTTGTATTAAATTTAACATTTGGCTTCTATCCCAGAGTTTTCCACATCCATATTTGAATCAGATGGTAGCGTAAGATGAAAAGATTTCCTGGATGGATTTTATTCTTATTTCTTATTAAAGGGTTGATAACAGGCTAAAGGCAAGATACTTCTTGTAGTAAAAGAATCTGCCTAATATCAAAGGCTGGATGGACAAGCTGACATGTATTATTGTTAGGCCTCCCTGCTTGATCACATTTCAGCATCATAAAACCATTCTGCTAGTGAACATGAAGTAGAAGAATTTCAGCATGAGAGCAAAAAGCCCAGGCTGGCAGGTAGCTCTCCTTTGGGCACTCTGCTTTATGCTTAGTGGCTGACCATAAGCCAATGGAAGGGTTTAGCATCAAAATGTACTGTTGGCAACATCACGGTGCAGCTATATTTATTTCAAATTGTAGTTATCCTCCAATATTCACATTCATGAAAGGTACTCCCCCATCCTGACTTATCTGAGGAGTTGGTATCATGTGTGATGTGACAGCATAGGACAGCCCCACCAGTGTTTCTCAGTCTTCTTCAGGAGCCCAGCATACTCTGCCCTATCCCCACGTCAGCCACTTTCCCTTGGTTCCTTTGGCAATCTGGAGACAGAAAGATCAAAGGGACTTGAATACTCTTCAGAAAGCAGTTTTCCCTTTACACAAAGCAGCTTTGTATAATACTTATGTATGACTGGGCTTAAATTTTACAAACGCTTGCAGGCTCTGGGTATTCTATGCAAAACCAATTACTTTTGATAAAATGAAGGAGTGGTGCTTTGTAGTGTTGCTGTTCTGCTGTAGTGGAGACTGCAGGCATGATACTGGAGCTATAAATTAGATTTTGCAAAGCTGCTCTTCTACAGGGAGTCTGCTGCTTCAGAGTAACAGGGTATAATTAGCATTTTCTTGGGGATATTTTTATTCTGTTTTGATGCAGTATCTTCAGCAGCCAAAGTAGAGCAGCAGTTGAAGGCTACATCTCACCTGGTGATCACAAAGGGTATTGAAGGGCAAATATGCTTTACAGATATTTGACCCTTCATCTCACCTGGTGATCACAAAGCGTATTGAAGGGCAAATATGCTTTACAGATATTTTATTCTGCTTTTCTAAATGCACCTCTTTAAAGCAACTGGTATGTGGTTTGAATTTACAAACAGGGAATCATTTTACCAGTACTGGTCTTTACAGCATCGACGTCAACATCTGAGCTTATTAAAGGAGCCCAGCGCTCCTTTTACAGTCAGTGAAGTGAGCACATTTAGAGTAGCAATTAATCTGATCTATTTTAGACTTCATCTTTCCAGTGAGGTGGATTGTATTCTAGAAGAGCCTGTTTCTCTCCTTAGCAAGAATAAATCCTATTATAATTAGTTCAGGAGGGGCTATCTACAGTTAGGTGAGATGGATCCAATACAGCATGTTGCTGAATAGCTCTGTATTCTCACTTTGCTATTCATATTGTTTGTGTTAATGTTTTTGGTTTTGTTTGGTGTGTTTGTTGTTGTTTGGGGTTTTTTTAATTACCTTATTACTGTAGGGAATGCACAAAGAGATCATTTGTGTTTATAAGAAATACTTGATTCAGTCCCTAAGAGATTTTTACTGCCACTAATTACAGCTACCTTAATGCTTCCTGTGAAAGCTGCTGTGGTAGTTGTGTCTTCTATGACTCAGGTACCAGTTTGATGCTAAACATCTTCTTGGATGAAGAGTGCATTCTGGGGGATGTTGGGTACTTGAGCAATACCCATAAGGGACTTGGGGCAGAGAGACCATGGGGTTTCCTCACACTCTTCTGAAAATAGCTTCAAGAAGGCCAGATGAATGGGGCTGTAGCATGTATATGCCTGTTTCAGGAGTGTTACTACAACTGGGATGAGGGATAAGGAAACATAATTTGTACTGGAGAACAGTGTCAATGGTTCATTTGGGTTCACCTGAACCGTGCTTACGGGTTTATTCAAGCAGAATAAAAGTCCTCCAACTCTGGTCTCCTCAAGACAAGTTTGCCACATACGACAGGGCTCAAAAGGTTAAGTAGCATTTGAGGAGTTAGAAGAGTTTCCCATGAACAGCCCTCAGCAAAAAAAATAAGTGTAATACCCAGTAACCAAAGAATCAAAGTTATTTTTGAAGTGTACAAACAGAGTCACATAATAGGACTAATAAGGTATTACTGGTCCCATATTTGTTATTTGCACTGTATCATACTGGTGCAAGCAGATTGATTTTAAGAGGGTGGAGGCTGCTGGAAATGTGTTCCTTGAAAACCTTTCTTGTTCACTACCCCAAAATCTATAATTGCTTTTGGAAATCTTGGCTTTGCTCTCTGGATTATTCACACCCAAGGCTCCCTAGTATGGTCTACTGAGCATTAGTTTTCCTTCTTCTGGTTGATTATGTAATGAATTTTTCTAGGTGAGTGTATTCTGTTTCTTCAATTCATTAATTCTTTCAGCTCAGCTTTGCTTATTCCCTCCTTTGTCAAGGTCTTAACGTTAATATTTGCAGCATTGCCTAGAGACATGCATGCAATAAATTTTTTCTTCTTTTTTTTTTTTTTTTTTCTTTTTACAGATGTAACTGAAATCCCCTCGTGTATTTTGAAGTCTACACCAACAGATCAGCAGCTGAACAAGCTGGCGAGTAGGCTGGGACCCGAATGGGAGCACCTAGTTCTGTGCTTGGGTCTGTCCCACACTGACATCTATCGATGTAAAGTCGATCACCCGCACAACCTGCAGTCACAAGTCGTGGCTGCCTTTGTCCTGTGGAGACAGCGTTTGGGGAAGAAAGCGACAATCCAAAGCCTGCAAGCCTGTCTGATGGCAGAGGAAGTGGATCCCTCTGTGATACAGTACATGCTGGAGTGAAGCCTCGCTAGTGACTGGGAGCTTTCGAGTACGTTGTTAAATGAATCAAAGAGGACTCACCAAAATGTATGTTAAAGATCTGACACCTCAAGCTGGAAGAAATGGGGTTGGGAACTGTGGTTTTTTTAATCTTAAACATTCTAGTTTTCTGTGGTGCCTTGTGATTTGTAATTCTTTTCATGCCAGATTAATTTTTAGCAGGCAGTAAAAAAATTAATCACTCTTAAACTCTTTCCTGATTGTTTTTTGTACTATTTCAGCGGGGATATAGGGTGACACTAAAAGTCCTTGCAAGCAAGAGGCCCTGCAGTGAGTTCAGCAAGGTTTCTGGTTTCACTGCAGGAGCAAGACTTGGTTTAACCAATTTTCTGAACTATATGGGAGCCTTTTTTTACTGCTGTTCCATGCTAGTTCCCTGATACCCCAGCAAGAATGAGAATAATCACTTACATTAATTTAACAATTTTACAACAGTTATTGCAGGTGGCTAATTTAACATTTTATAAAAGTTTTATCACATACAGTTTCTTGCTACAATAGATGACTGCTGCCTTAATCTGCCTTTGAAACTGGCCCTAAGTGGAAGTAACAAGAACCTAGTGAGAGTTTCTTCTGTTACTATTTAATGCATTTCTGCAAGGAGACAGGCACCATGCATGTGTGCCATCTCTTAGCATAGGGGAGTTCTCAATGAGACATGCAGTAGAAAAGTGACCAGAAGATAGGCAGGAGATGGAAAACAGCAAGAAGGGGCCTAAAAAATGAGACAACTTCTGGGTTGTCCATGTTTGTCTCCACTAATAAACTGGGAGACAACTTGATGCCTGCTGAGTCTTTATACTATGCTCCGGATCCAGGCAATATTGTTTAACGTAAGTTTTACTCTTAGCTTGACTGTCACAGGCACCATTCTCTGACCACTGCATGCCTGAGAGGGTACTGAAGCTTGCAAGTCCTTTTTGGTGAAGATATACTCTCCACTGCTGTCCTTCCCGCTTGTGCTAACCACCAGGCTCATTTGCTTTCTACCAGCTTTTATGCAGCTCGTGCAGCCAGCTTGAACACTCTTGTCCCTAATTCTTAGCCAGTTGTAATTGTACCACCAGTGGTTAGATTTTATGCAGAACAGTAAAGCTTGGACTTCCATCCCCCTTTCCTTCTGTCAAGGAGTTTTCTTCCTTCTGAGGAAGACCAATGAGGTTCTTGCTGACCAGGTGAGTGGGGATCAGTCCACAGGGTGCACATCCAGATGTGATGGAAGTGACCAGCTGCTCTCTGAGGCCTAATGATAAGGGGCAGAATAAGTCTTAATTCTCCCTGGGAAGTTTTCTGTAGAGTAAATGGGGAAAAAAGTTTGGATGCAGGGTTTCCAGGTTTATTTATGAGCAAGTTCTGGTAGACTGTTTCATCTACAGAGTCTTTGCCAAGTAACGTCCCGTCCTACAAGGTCTTCCCCATATAATTTAACAGTTTAACAGGCTTGTTGAAAGTCTTTATTGGGGAATGAACTTTACTGGGGTTTTTTTGGGGGTTGTTTTTTTTTTGTTATTTTTTTATTATTCTTCTTCCTATACCTAGATTTTGGAAGACACCAGGGAAATTGGGAAATACAAAGATATTTTAAGGATACCCTGCCTGCCTTGTTTTTCAGAAGCATGGGAACAGAAAACATATCCTGGCAGGATCTGCTCCTGCAGGTCCCAAAGCAATCTGGTATTACTTTAGTTTTAATCTTCAGTATACAGTTCTGACCTTCAGTAAATTGTGATCCTGTTATACCTCAGACCTTAACTAATTGTATCCTATTATGGCTACTTACAGAGTTTAAGTCTGTCAACAAGTCTCAAATAAACAATGTAAATCAATGTAGGCCTTGGGATTTATTTATTTTTCTGTTTTATGATGCTTTAATGCCAGCATATTCTTTTTTTAGTTGAAAACCATCCTAGAGAAGGTCTATAGGCAGTTGGCAAATACACATGAGCATGGCCCAGTGCAGGGAGTGTGGTGAGGACTCTGAAGCAAAGCTGCCAGGGAGATGGGCAGGAGCAGTGTCCCTGCCATCAGGTTGGAGGAACAAAAGCTGGAGATGGACGAAACTACTGAAAACATGATTTAGAGGAAGAAGCTGGCTCCCAGACACATAAATGCAAATACGTTACTTTGTTCTGAGCTGGCATGAACCAAGTCTTAGCACACACTGGTCTCCAAGGGAGTCGTCCCCAGTTAACCCAGCCTGAAGGCAGCGCTCCAGGAAGGCAACAAGTCTGGGCAGTAGAGCAGTAGCGGGAACACTCATGGGGCCCTGGTACCTTCCTCTTTGGGTAAACTTCATATTTCATGCTCTTCATTTGTAAGGCTGATTTCAGGTTATCCGTAACTAATAATGTAGAGCATTTTTAATGATTAAGAAAATAGTCTGGAATAGGTAGGAAGTCTCAAGCCAAAGAAGTCTTCCTTGCAAGCCAGGGATCCTTCTGTGTATCTACCATGGGCCACTGGAAACCTGATGGGTCACTATTGTATCAGGTAGTTTCTCCATAGTCCTTAGTCTGTTCTTTAGGTGGACTAAATTCTGCATCCCAGCAGTGGTACTGGAATGACAGGAGCCATGGCTAGACAGGGAATTTAAAACCTGGCCTCTCATATTGTACAACAAAGCACTTAATTCATAATTTATAGTTACTTGCACATTCCCAGGCCCTAAATGAATACTGTAATACTTGAGTTGCAAATATTGAAGGGAGACGTTTACTTATTTTATGAGACTGTTTCCATTGCTGTTATTTTTAAATTCATGGAAATGTTCCTACTAGACTCTTCAGTTTTATTAAAGCTTGTTTTTGCACCACACAAATGCAAGGACACATTTAACTTGACAGTAGTATTCCTCTAAGCCAGTGGATTTTTCCATCCACTTGAAAATATTTTTCTTCTGTCTGTAATGTTTTAATTTACACAAGGATACAATTAAGACAATTTAATTCTTCAGATGTATAGCAAGGGCTCTCATTCTCTCTTAGGACAGCCAAAAGGTCTTAAAATGTTTATTTTTCTCTGGCTAATTTGGGAGCAAATGTTATTTATTTAAATCTCACTCATAAGCAAGCTTGCAGCTTGAGTATTGTTCAGGAGTGAGGCAACTCAGTGAGTGAATTTCCCCATCTGTCCCTTCCCCTCAACTCCCTTGTGCCACTAGTTTGGGTGACAGGGGCCTGCACGGGGGCCCCTGTGCCCCCAGGACTGGTGCACAGGGCAGGCTGACAGCCAGGGTAGCCCCCCAGCAAGGACTTGTCCCTCTTCCACAGCTGATTGTTTGCACTGAGTGGCATGGCCACTCCAGGCTTTGGGCTAGTGCGTGGGGCTCAGGGGCAAAGGTTAGCCAGCAGCAGCTGTCCCCCGATGTGTTTGGCTTTCTTAACTGATGTTGAAAAAGTCTTCCTAGTGAAAAAGGTACTATTGCTGCCCACCTACTTGTGATAGTGTCTAGGAGCCTTGAGAGAGGAAAACACAAAGGTGGCTGCTGCTGGACCTTCCACTGAAATGAATGGCTTAACCTCTTGTCCTTGGAAAAAGTAATCATTCATTTTCTTCCTTGCCCTACAAAGGAGATTTTGATATCCCGTTTAACTTAGCTAAGTGGTAAGTAGGCTTTATGAAAGCTGTTCTGTACTCTGCAAGTACAGGTGGACTCCTAGCATGGGAACAGGCAAGGTCTAACAGCACCATTTCCCAGCTGCGTGAAGTGGCAGGGGTGGTCACAGAGGGGAGATCTCAGGGCAGAGCCATGTCACGGTGGCTGCACTGCTGCCTCGAGCTGCGGCCGGAGTGCAGAGGAGAATGAAAATGCAGTCATCTTTGAGCTGCTTCTCCCTGATGATGCGGGGGAAATTTCCATCTTGAGTCATATGTTATGACGGTCATTGAACTGTGGAATAAAACATTTTGCAAAAGGCTGGAAAAATAAACAAAGTCATATTATATTCAAAGAACATAAAAGGCATGCTCATCTGATGCTAAATGTGGTCATGCTGCCAGTTTTGTTTCTTACTGCAAATAAAAACAGTCTCTGAGAGCTAATCTGTTTACAAGCTTCCATATTCTCCATAATGATAGACTAATGTCAAGGCATAGTAGAAGCAGAGCTGAAAAGGCAGGTCCTAAAAGCTTTGTGTTTTTGCAATGAATATTCAAAAGATTTTGCCCAGATTTCACTAAATGAAAATAATTTTTACTTCCAAGGTGTCTTTCCATCACCTGATAAATAGGCCTAAAAATAAGCCTAGTGATTCAGCTTTTTTTTTTTTTTTTTTCCCCTGGCCTGAGTTCAGTGTCCTTGAAAACTGATTTTCTGAGAAAAAGGAATATTTGCCAGAAACAAATCATTTTTGAAAGTATCTTTTCAGATTTTTATTTTTTTTTTAAAGTATGTATTTTAGTAGAATTCACTTCTGAACTTAGCATTTTACTTGTGAAAAAAGGTAAACTGGCCGTTTCCTTTGGAAGCCTTTGGGAAGAACTGAATGATGAGTAGAGCTGATAATGGCACAGGAAGACTCCGAGCACTCCTGCAGCAGTCACTGCATTGAAGTGTCTGCAGGAGTTACAGATACCATTTCTGACACTGATGTGGGGTGCAAGCCCCAACAGCAAGGAGACAAAAAATCTCTTAATAACTTCAATGCACTTTGGATTAGGCCTTCTATAATTGGAACCTGCTGAAGTGTGGTACATTTTTACTACCTCCCTTTGAAAAGCAGTTTTTATGGATTTTGGGGCAATAAAAGGGAAAGGGCTTTTTGTGGATGTAGTAAGCACTCCAGGTCTTATTTTTGCTGCCTCAAGTGCTACTTGGAGCTACTCACTTCAAAGTAAGGATCATGAGAAAGAAAAATGAACAGAGGAGAGGTGCCATTCAGCAAAGGATTTCTGTATGTTTCCATACCTGAGATCATTTTGAGTTACGAAATCTGAATAAACCCCTAACAGATGGGATATGA